ACAGACAATTTTGACTATATTTGACATTCTTAATGGACTCTTGAGTTAAAGTCTAGAATATTATTTTTCCCTAACACGTAACGTTTTTAGATACCGCTCTCTTTATAAGGCTGCACCAACAATCAATACGAAACTAAAGATTTTAAATTGGCTCACTACTTGACTAGCCTATTGGTTCCAAGCAAATCGACTAACGTACCCCATTCTAGTATAAATTCCAGTACTACACTATGTTTGTTTTGATTCGCTATGAAAGTTTGACAGATAAAATGAGGGGTTAGTGGATTTTCCTATGTTTCGAGGGGTGAATCGATTAGCTTGGGACCGAAGATAGTACCAGAGCTGAGTCAAAAAGTTGAGCTCGTTATTTCGGAACCTTCTGGTCTTAGAGTTACCTCTATGGCTGTACCGCTCTACAAGGATGTATGAGACCAATGAGCTTGCAGAATGGAGGTACTCCGCGTACTTAAGACATCTTAAGACGTACTTGAAAATATCACCGAAATAATGTGTGCGAGATAGCGTTTTTAAATGTTCTAGACAAATATTCCTTGAGTCATTTGTTATAAATAGTCCTTGCACAATAGAGCGTACAATTATTGACTGAGTGTTCACTCGGCTGTCGACAAAATCAGGCCACTCTCGATGTGTGCCACGCGATCGTCTGTTTTCCCGGCAGCAACCATTGTGTGGTCCTCCTCATTGTTCTTCATCAGCAGTTCTTTCGGTCGATGCGTCGTCGACTTTGGAAATCAACCGTTTCGTGATGAGTGTGTGAGTGTTGACCACGTTTTGCGTCCATTACTGCAATGGAAGCGCTTTGCCCCACGATGACATAGTTGCCATACAAGTAAACCACTGGAAGCGGTTCCAGTTCTGATGGAGGAGGCTTTTTGGATAGCGGAAGATAAAGTCACAGACAAACAGACATAACACATTGAATATTTATCACTGTAAAACATCGTCGCTAAAACATTACCGCCATCTGTTGAATACACTGTGGTGGGTAGTACGCTGAACAGATGGCAGTAGTGTGTAAACGTCAAACGCAAGGCAATTGACTATGCGCGCCACAGGTGGCGGTACTACCAACTACGATACTTTTAAATTGACCGTTAAATGCTAGTTCGATGAACAACTTGTGAGTGTTATGTCTGTTTGTCTGTGATAAAGTGTTTATTGTGTTGTACGTTTTGACTATAGTTTTAAGATGTATTGTATAGTGACCAAGAATCCTCGGCTCTGTAAAGTTAATTCGGTTGAGCTTTATCAAATAAATTAATGAACAAACAAAAAATTATTGACTGCTTAGGTTGAGTGTGAAAGCACTGCTCTATTCAATTCATTGCTCTATCCTGACCGTATGTACCAAACGGTAAAGGACGAGGCAATAAGGTGATCCAAGAGACGTTTCTCCTAGGGGCACGAAATAACCTTTAACTCCAACGCAGGCAACGGCTGTAATTAAATTAATTCCATTAACTACTGATTTAATTACATTAATTACACAATGAAGAACATTAACTACTTTTAACTCCATTAATTACAGTTGAAATTTTGTAATTAAAGTACATTAATTACATTTTCAATACTTTTAATTACATTAATTACGGATAGATAATTTTAATTACCGTCAGTACTACTTCAAAACGCATTAATTACTTTAAGTACTTTTGATTGCATTTTAATTTCAACGTACCGGTTCATTGTATTGCGTGCCCCTTGCGTTTCTCAGTGGAACTGACAGCTAGAATTCTAGAGTGTGTGAGTGATCTGGTGCAGGCTTGCTTCCACTCACTTGCTATAAAAACATGATTTACTGAATTTCGAAATCATTAGATGTTATAATCATATTTTGGACTTGTTAGATACAAGAAGAAGTTTAAAGGCAAGTGTTTGCCATATGAAATCTGTCAAATTCGGTTTCAGATAGTCATAATCAGCGATTTTACGACTCGCGAGCGCTCACTCTGAGTGAACGCTCACGAATCATAAAATCGCTGATTGTAACACTCTGGTAGCGAAATTGACAGGTTTTATGAGTCAAACACTTGTCTTTTAGCTTCTTCTTGTACCTAACAAGTACAAAATATCATTATAACATCTAATGATTCCAAAATTCAGAAAATATTTTTTTTAAGCAAGTGAGTGGAAGCAACCCTGATCTGGTGTTTATGGAGCTGAATTTAAACATAAACAAAGCAAAAATTCGTATGAGAATAAACTGCCAGTTCTACTTTGATCTGTCAAAAGTTCTTGGTAAACAAAAAAGTCAGCTGATTGCAACTGTCTCGTGGACAGCCTTATGAAAGAGCCAAAGCCAACAAAAACATTCAGTCACTCACGAACTGGCGACTCACACGCTTGTCTTTGCTCCCACAGCATGCAATTGAGGCATTTTTCCATAGAAAATGTGCGCTCAGTCCTTCAAAACAAGGATTGGGTACCATTAAAGACCTACAGTAAAAGTAAGTTGTTCCAACCGAACCGCTTTGCTCGATTGGAACAGTTTTTTTTTTTTTAATTTTGTGGTGACAGTCGTCCATAGTTAACATATTTTTTTGGCTTTAGGTACCATGACGGAAGAATAAACCTGGATTAACAATAGAAAAGGGCCCACCAGAATTTGTAAAACAAACTGTTCTAAAGCCCATTCCTCATAAAGCGAAGGCCGCCCACTGCCCACACAAACTAATACCATAATCGTGTAGGGGAAACTTTCCCCAATCCGATGATGGCGTTGGTTTGCGTGGGCGGCCTTCGCTTTGTGAGGAAAGGGCTTTAGAACGGTTTGTTTACAAATGCTGATGGGCCCTTTTCTATTGTTAATCCAGGTTTATTGTTTCGTCATGGCACCTAAAGCCAAAAAAGTATGTAAAGTATATAAAGTATGGACGACTGTCACCACAGAACTGAAAAATTGTAGATTCAGAAACGTGCTGACCTAGCTACTGACAGATTGCCCTGCTGTCAGAGACTTGTTTACTTCCCAATCATTCAGACTTTCACGAGCCAGTGAATGATGAGGTGGATGGCTATGAGATATGAATATATTTATAAATATGAAAAGCCCTAATTGAACCTGACTGTTTGGTGCACTGAATAATTCTGAATAACTGAATAACGCAAGGGACCACCATATAATAAAATATGTTATAACAATTCTGCCCTAGAACAAAAAGCTCCAATTTGTCGCACAGTGATATATCACTATACACATGGTAAATAATATTCCGAACAATAATGAGTATCAAAACATGGGAGTTTAATTTTTTATGGGCAAGGATAAGGACTGTTCAGTTACAAAACGGACACACACTTTCAGTCCCAACTTTTTGATTTGACTACTTAGCTTGATGCTTTCTTTGGCAAGTTTTAAGCTCTACTTATAAGCAACATTGAAAAAAAATGAACAATATGTTTGAAATAGCATGTCAGTTTTAAATCACATGTGCTCTAAAATGCAATTTTTATACTCATGACGATATAACTTGAACACCAGGCACAATTATGCAAATGTGTCAAGCCAGATATTTGTTTTATTCAGATCTTCTAAAAGATGATACACGCCTATTAAAAATAAAAATGAATTTCATAGAACAAAGTATAACACAGATTGGAATATTGAATTTATTATTTGGTATTTTTTAGAATACTTGCTTTTGAAGTTATGCGTTTGATGATCATTAATTTAAGCAATGCATATTTTTGGTTCGATCATGATCTATACATATCCTGAATAAACAATACAAAATGCAAAATGAAAAAGTTACAGAAAATTGTCTACGTCCGTTTTATACCTTAACTCCTTAACTTATTTTACAACGCAAATCAGCCATGACAACGGCCATTGGTGGATTCTATCAACCTTTTCATTAAGATCTTGGATTTGAACAAGTTTTGTATGAACATTCAACAATAAAGATTCTGAATTGATGATTACAAATTCATAAGTTAAAGATTTTCATGATTCCGAATAGAATAACATATTGTCAGAGAGAAATTTCAAAAAAAAAAACTACTACAAATCAAGCTCAACACTGGTGTGTACCAGTACCATGAAATTCCATGCCGCCTGTCAGCCTAAATAGCCAAAGACGAAACATAATGGGGGAGAAATTTTATGCTCCAACACCTTGCTCGAAAACAGCGACCACAAAACACGCACGGAACGCGTCGAATTCGTTTTCGATTCGATGGTCAAAGACTTGGCGTGTCGGGTCGAGATGGCCCGGCCGGACAATAGCATTCAATTCAGATGAAAGTGCGGCTCGTCTGGCCTTGCCTATAGCTTGACTTGATCATCTGCGCTATGTTGTGCAGGCTCGATCGTCGCATCCGGATCGTTGACGGTGGATTGACGAGTCATCATGGATGAGGCATGAATTAAATGAAAATGAGAGTGAGATTTTCGCTGAGTCGGCATCACTTGTGGCACGCATGGTAATTATACGCCAAAATCATCGGACGGTCATGTAATGGATTAGCGATCATTTCACTATCGGTTTACCTGCTTCTTTAGATTAGAGCCAATGATTTGGGTAGTTCGATTATAGTATCGAGAGATTGCCGGTTGAAATGAGTTTTCACGTCTCACGCGCGGTGCTGTGTTAGATCATATGGGTTATTTGTGGATTTTCATGGGAGGAAATTTGTTTTTTTTTCGAATCAAAGATGTATCAGTTTAATACTTTCAAACGCTGTAATTAGTCTGCATGTTTGGAGGAAAGTGTTTTTTCTCATTAATGTAAAAAAGGTGAAACTTATCAATGCTCTTTAGAGATCGTAGAAAATTTTGAACAACATTTGAGGAGTTCAATTTCACTGGCTTGGGAATGTTAAGTTGAAAGTTTTGTATTGGTCTCAATTTCTGGACTAATGTCATTAATTGTGGCGGGTGAGATTCAGATCAGGGTTTTGTCTTTTTACTTTTAATGATTCGCGGCTGTATACATTTATTGTTATCGAAAATGATTGTTTGTATATTTTATTTTTTACAGCTATTGTTTGGATGTCAGTTGCTGACTAGAGCCGATGATTTACTCGACTCGGAAGAGCCACCTGAGGGGTAATATTCAGAAACTCTTGGTATCACTTGAACGGAAAATGACAATCTTCTGGATTAATTTCAGCTACTATGCGTTCATAGAATCACCATCTGCCGTTCCACCGAAGGTTCGTTCGCCACCTTACACCCATATCAACATGGACTGCAAGGACGCTACCAATCCTAAGCCATACGTCTCTGCCAATAATCTTTGTGGTGATCTAAATAAGGGCAAAATACCACGCAATCCAATGCGTCAGAGCGTCATGGGCGAGCCCTATCCTTTGTAAGTCGTTAATTCCTAAAGCTAACCCTTGGTCATCAATTAACCGTACTTTTCTTACAGTGAGCTCATCAGAAACCAAACACTGAAGTTTTTGTCGAAAACTTTACCAGTGTTGAAGGCTGATGATACGCTTCCCAAGGTTACTCAGATCATGCCAGATGAGTCAGTGGATCAGTTTGATGACAATGGGTAATATTTGATGAATAAGTAATGTTGTTGGCATCTTTTATTAGAAAAGTTTATCTTTTAGAATTGGCCGTCGAATGGGTAAAGGTATTCGCATGACCGAAGAACGTAAAGATGAAGAAGAGCCCCGAACTCCAAGGAAGTTCTGCGATGGTGGTGGCGTATTCTGTGCCTTGTATCGTGCTATTCAGGGTGAACCCTTCAACAGTAAGCTGGTCGCTGAGCGACGTGAAGAGATCCCTAACGCTGGCTATCCACCACCACCACCACCACCAGCACGCTACGAAGGTCCACCAACGCCTTGCCCGGCTAAGGTAGAATATGCCACTCCGGTATTCGCTAAGAACTATCAGGGTTCTTGGAGATACGTCGTCCAAATTCCATACGAAGGATATTTTACCCAAACCGTTGAAGTGACCCGTTGTCTTCAAGCTCGCTGCCACTATCTCGATGGAGGTTGTCTGTCGTCTCCTCGCTGGGTCAGCTTGCTTGTTGCCGAAATTTTCTATCCAAATGCTGAAGAGTACACAACTTCTGCCCCAACGACCACTGCACCATCGATTCAGGACTTCCAGGCGTATCAGCAGTACCTGCAGAAGAGAGCGGGACTTCCCACCGGAACCGATAGTGGCTCGTATGAGAACACCAGTAATCATGCCTCCCGCAAGAGCGATCAGCATTGCGATGGTCACGATGAGATCGGATGCTTCCAAGTTCGTCTGTACTACGACTGGTTCCTGATACCTGGTTCTTGCAAATGCTGGAGACCAGATTACTTCGCGAAGTACGTCCGAAAGCGACCAACTCCTGAGCTGTAGAGCTGAACAAAATAGCTGCGCCCATACGAGAGATGTTGCGTAGGTACGAGTGTTGAATGGACTGCGACTTTATTTATTTATTTATTTTAACTTATGTAAATGCTAAAGCGCAAATTTTAGATTCAAGTTGGAGCTTATTCGGGTATAAAATTTGAATGCGCTCATATGTACGCTTTCTGGCGTGTTTCGGGACGTGTTTATTCTCTCTATCTTCTTGTTCAGAAGAATTCTATCCTCTTATCTCAACTTTTCCGCTGGTTATGGTGTTATGGGACAATAATCACTGCAAGGGGCTATCGAAGGCATCCATTGAGTCGGATTTATTTTTAGTTCTAAAGTGATCTAGAAGTATGACTGACTACACTGATCTTAAAAAAAAACAACAACACGCTCTTCATAAGACACTATAGGATAAGCTACAGTAGGTAATTATTAGAAGTGCTCTTCTCGTCTAGAGTATCAACAGAAGCAATGAAATGGAATAATTTGTAAATATAAATATTTTAAAAACACTACATGATTTTCGCTTAACTTATAATTAAAAGAAAAGAAAAGAAAAAAATCCTGAAGTTTTTCGGTTTGTATCAACCACCCTTTTGAAGATACCTTCAACTCTTTGAAGAAGTTGCTTTGTTGTTATATTGTTCACTGAAATCGTTTAAAACCAATGATGATATCTAAAGTGTACCCCGCATGACTTAGTTTTGTCAATATTTTCACATCAATGCTTTCCACAATATTTTTGCTAGTTCATCAATACTGTAGTCAAGGAGAAAATGAGGGGACATATTTAAACACAACATTTAAACGTGACTGTTTTAATTCTGCGTCAATGTTTTCGTTATCAATATTTGCATCAATATTATTGACAATATTATATACCACATTCTCGTATTGTCAATACTCAAAAGTGTTGCCTATATTATTGAAGGTGTAAGAGAAGGTTATTTGAATTTTACCGACTTTTTCAGCAATTCAAAAACCCAGTAAAAAAATACTGACTCCTTTAAAAAATTTTTAGTGTGTACAGTTTAATGAAAAATGTCACAGACGCTATTTTGAAATCAAATTCAAGATCCAAAACGGTTTAATTTTAGCAACAGTATTAATGTTTGCCCATAAAAAAAATCATGCAAAGTTTCATGCAAATCTAAGAAGGTCGAGTATGATCGATTCGTGTAATACTTCTACAGTTTAATCTGAAAGCCTCCTAAATAAAGCTAAATAATAATACAGTTTAATCACAACAAACTCAAGGATTTTGAGAAATTTCATATTAAACATTCCTAGCATTTTAGCGTGTTATATGGAGTTAAACTGTTTATTTCGAGGAATTTTTCGGACAAACAACTAATAAATGATAGATTCGAAGAAGAAATTACAGTCAACTTATTTTTACTCTAAATAAATAATGTAAATTGTTTAAATCGTACGTCCATGTTGTAGTTTCGCAGATTTCTTAATTATATTTTAGGTACTGCGTTACGATTCCATTTCAAAAAATGCTTTCAACATTGAATGCAATGTTTTACGCAAGAAATCATTTAACATGTGAGACCGGTATGCGTGTTTGAAAGAAAGGATAATTTTGACAAGCAAATGTTTACATTCTAGTTAGTTAAAAATAATGCACTTGCTTAGTTCTTAGACTTTTGGATATACTAATATTTTTAGAATGTTTCAAATTTGAATGTTTATCATGAATGTAAGCAGATATACTAATTCGACAGAAGACAATACATTCATATCCGAAAACAATGATCGACCAACAACCCAGCAAATGTATTGTCCCATCTGTTCCGAATCGTTTGGCTGTGAGAAGAAACTCTATCAGCACAAGATGACACATTCTTCCGACTATCGAATATGTGAAATTGAGCGACAAAATCGAACATTCAAAGTTCATTTGCGGATTTACACTTGCGATATCTGTAAGAAAGAATTCCGGAATCAGACGCATTATGAAAAGCACAGAAAAGTACGCCATACCAAAGAGGGCTACATTTGCCCGCATTGTAGTAAGATATTCAAGGTAGGAGAATGAGTTGATTTATCTATCTTAAATATTTGTTAAAGCTGTCTTTGTTTTAGGATCTCAAATACATGAAAATCCACATGCGAACGCATTCCGGAGAAAGGCCATACAAGTGTGAGAAGTGTTCGAAAACTTTCACCAGATCAATCATACTTCGGCAGCATATGCTCACGCACCAAAAAGTAGGAAACCATAAGTGTGAGTTCTGCTCAAAGTCGTACAAACGACTGGAGGACCTGCAGCGTCATTATGAAGTTCATTGAGATAGAATAAATGCAGTTTTTAAATATTGAAATGATTATTCTTGTTTCTTTATGTACGTTTCAAGGTTTGTTTGTTAGATATTTCATTATGATCAGAGGTGCATCCACGTTTAAATATAAGGGTAGGAAAACTATGAGCATATGAAAATTCATGCTGTATGCTACCCTTCTCGTTCGTAAGTGTAAAATCGTAAACTGAAATGTCTTTGAACTGACAATTCGCAAACTGAAGCAGTTATTCAGTTTAAGGATATTTGTCTATTAAATTGATGCAGTTTCATAATTTCAAGATGAATACTGATGTATTTTAAATGTATTTGACAACTGGTTTGACACACGAAATGTATTTTGAAGAATATACATGTTTCAGTAAGCAAACGTTTTAGCATTAAACTTAAAAATGGCTCGGAACATTTTAGTTCACTGGTCATTACAAAAATATCCATTTGTATTTTCTCTAAGAAACATTGAAGAATATGAGATTTTTATCGATGGGCTCAATATTTAGATCCATAAGCCAATATTAGAGCCATTTCTTCTATCTAAAATGTATTGTCGTAATCCCCGGCTGGGCTCTTTGTGGTTTAAAGGCTTAGGCTTAAGTCATGACTTCATTTGCGTAATGAGTAACCACTACTCGCTAGATACGCATATCTCTATGTCCCTATCAGAGATGTGTATGCTGTCGATTTATGTGTTTCTGCTAATGTGTAATAAGAATATAATTCCATCGTCTTTTGTCCCTATTTATTAGTTTTTGTTTGTCTTGTGCCCCAGTCGCAATGAGTCTCATCGTCTCCCACTGGTCACCATAGCCGGTCGAATGCTAGACAAATCTAGAACCGCACTACCGGTCATACTGGCGACAACGCTCTGATGAGACAATGAAACCTCACCCCAAGCTCCTCTCCTGATCATATACTTCGACAATGTACCCCACTAACCTCTGGTAAGCCGCGAGTATTCAGCCCAACTCCTACTGGACATAGAAATAAGTGAATTTTGTTGACATGAATGAACAATGAACTATCGGCTCCGTTAAGCTATCGTGATTTCGCCTTCCAAATAAACGAACTAGATAAAAAAAAAACCCCGGCTGGATCACCGCGATCTCGAACACACTTCGCGTAGCTAAGCATTATCGTCCCAGTCTGTATTCTTCAAAACTATTTTCCAAATTGTGGGTCAACTTGGCCATTGTCGTGAACCCCGGCTTGATCACCACGATCTCGAACACACTTCGCGTGGCTCGGCAGAACATCACAACAGAGGCAGACCCATGGGCTCATGGCACCGGAGCCTCAACAAGGAAATAAAGTAAATCGACAGGAGTCTGACCTGAGCCCAGGTTAAGGCAAAATCAACCAGTCGCCTAGGATGGAAAACTTTCACGATGGCCCTATGCACCACTAGGGCATTGCAGGATATATGAGTGAGTGAGTGAGCACATCATATTTAAATTTATCTTATTTTATTTAAGTTTTATCGTATAAAATTCCTATTTGTTACTTGTAAAAAATGCCATTTTTATACCACATACCACCATTTTAAATTAAATCATAAGGCTTGTAAAACTGCATTTTTTATTACAGATTTAATCGTATATGATGTCAAATAGAAATGTTTATATAGAAAATTTAAATTTACTACCTCCAATTTTGTAGTTATAAGCCCTTTTGTGCATTAAATACGATTTATTTGTTGGAATTCATGTTCGCTAGGGTGGTACAAATTTTCGATTTTCCCCCGCCAGGCTTCGTTGTTCAGTTCCTGACCATTATCCGAAAGTTTGAGTTTATTTGGATGCGAACTCATACTGCACTGGCCCTTTGAAGTTTATATAGGTATTACTATGCGATTTTTTTTGTTCTCAAGGTCCTAGCACGTCGCCATAATAATTTACGGAAAAGATTTCTTCTTTCTCTTATGCGAAATTTTATCAGTTACAACTTTGCTCAAGACCACCTTTTGATTAGACTTTAAGGTGTTTCCCTGTAGAGTCCATTTTTCCATCACACCTCGCAATTTCAAGAGCACAGAACTCAAGATCTAAGAGGTTTATATATCCGCAAATTTCAGCCATTGCTTGCTTCTCCGCAGCAAACAACAAGTAGTAGTTTCAGCTACGTGCATTCACAGAAACCTTATTATTTTTACATGTGAAATTGCGAAGTGTAACACGAAAAAGGACGCTACAGGGAATCACCTTAAGGATTAGAGCCGATATCTTTTTGATATGATTAATCAACTGCTTTCAGGGCAACACTGCATCTTGCACTTATGACATAATAGCGTGGATTTTTGTCATATTCTTCCCGCTAAGTACACCAATGTTGCCTGCAGTTTATGGAGCATGTCAGAAGAATATAATCTTACTAATTAATAATTAACTAATTATCCTACCGTTCAATTCAAATGCAGTATTGAGCAAAGTTGTAGCTGAGATACAGATAGCAAACTTTTCCGTACACACTTAGAAATACCTAATATTACACGTGACGGAATCCATCTTTGACATAAAGGATGAGACGTAAACAAACATGTCATGTAAAATTAAGTGCTCCGAGACTGAAAACTTTGAAAGTACGTTTGATTGCGCTGAATTTCGCGTCTGTTATGACTCAATTTTATGTCAAAATTGACGCTCGTATATGTCAGTCTCAGAGCACCTAAATTTACATAAATTTTTCTAAGTGTGTAGATTTTTAAAGTGAACGACTAGAACGATCTGAGGAAAAAGTGCACTTTTTCCATAGTAATTCCTAGATAAACTTCAAAGGGCCAGTGTCTTCAGTGAAGGTTCACTTTATAATCTTCGATGTAATAATTATTCGAATAGCATCATGGCGGAGATTTTCGATCAGTGTAGTTTATTCCTTCCGGGATCGGTATCGGGCATAAACGATCGTCGGTTGTAGTGGTTTGATGTAATGTAAGGAGCTCGGTGGCTCAGTGGTAGCCGGTTCTGCTTCCTGAGCAGAAGATCGTGGTTACAATCCCAGGCTGCGTCACATTAAAGAGCTGATAGGATCACTTTAATTACTAATAGTTCACTGAATTGTATTGATCAACAACATGATCACCTACCTACTAACAAAGTTAGATTTTGAAGCCATCTATGCTGATGACTTTCAATCTATTTGTATATGCCAATAGATCATCTTTTCATTATTACATTTCAGCTCTATAAAGCAAGACTTTGCTGGAGGCGGTTTGAGTCAACTCCCGATCCGATCTAGGATTTTTTTTTCGGGTTGAAAAATCTACCAACTTCCATTGGCATGGAGTATGATTATACAGTCATCCCAGTATAATGGGCCACTGTAATAAGCGTTAGCGTTAGCGTTAGCGTTGTTATGATATACATCGTAGATTGGATACTAGCGACACTCACGTCTCTTCTGAAATTCTCAGTTAGACTACTTTCAGGAATAATGCTGGGGAGTAAACATTGGTTCCAATCTAAACAAGAGTAACAGAAGCATGACTGTCGCTATTCCCGGCCACGCCCATCTTTACCATAACTAGGGATAGGGAAGGAAATGTTGATGTAGTACTTACTTAACGAGAGGTCACCGACTTAGCGACACCCTCATAAGTGCTACGGAGTTGGAGGGTTGGGTAGGGTATTCGGTTAGGATTCGCCTCAAGTTGGCGATGCAACCAAAATTAAGTATTGTTTATTTGTTGTTTATTTAATCTCTCGATAGCCGGCTATCGAAAGAACATATTCATTTTGTTTAGTGATCATGAATTTTAAGAGTCATGACGGAGAGCTTGGGATTAAACCCATGATTTTCTGCTCAGTAAGCAAAAACGATCCCTCCAGGGTCATCGAGCATCTTAGAACCATAACGCTTCGTGACAATACAGGACTACGTTTTCGCTTGATATGCAAATAGTTTCCGAGGTTAATGTTCAATACCAAATATACAAATGATGGTGGCAATTTATTGTGCTGTGGAAGAGCTTGGGGTTAAATCCATGATTTTCTGCTCAGTAAGCAAAATCGATCCCTCCAGGGTCATCGAGCATCTCATAATCCACAGCGCTTCGCGTCAAAGTACGAATATATGGATGACCTATCTATTATTGAATAACTATTATTTACGATGATTACATGAAAGAAATAAAATATAAACTACAAACAAAACGTGACTACTAAAATCTCAAAAAGATATTCTTGCAAATATATTTCATGCAACCAGGAATCTCAAAACCATTAGACGCTATAATGATACTCTGCACATGTTAGACACAAGAAGAGGCCAAAAAGCAAGCGTACGACACACAAAACCCGCCAAATCCACTTGCAGTCACAATCAACGATTCTACGAATCGCGAGCGCTCACGAATCATAAAACCGCCGACTGCGGCACTCTGAAATCGAAATTGACAGGCTCTATGCGTCAAACACCCGCCCTCCAATCTCCTCCCGCATCCAACAACACAAATCTCCATTACAACATCTAACGAATTCAAAACTTCGAAAATCACTCATCTATAGCAAGTGAGTGGAAACAACCCTGCATGCAACCATTCTTCATGATACACTTTTTCTTCCTATATTTCTATTGGGCCTGAGGACATGCGTTAGCTTCGAAACTTCTAACCAAACTGGGAAAATTTTCAGATCACAAAAAAAAAACTTTCAAAGGTAATTACAAGTAAAATAAATATTAATTATTTTACGCAAAAACGAGCGAATAATATTAAATCTCTTGTATCGTATGCTAATGCTAATTGACTGTAACAAAAATAATATGCTTAAATAAAATAAAATATTAATAAAATTATATGCAAACTTTACTAGAAGATCTTTACTATATTGGTGAGAAGTTTCTTATAAGCCCTCCCAGTTCTTCTGTATACAGAACAAATCTGATACTACAATCAGAATTGCTCAGTCTGCATGAAGCAGCTGATTTCATCCAGGAAGTTCTATTAACAACCAAGAATTAATCGTTTGAGGCATACTGAAGCATTAAGAAGGTGATATGTGTCACTATAGGAAATCATCATCGTTGCAAATATAAAGAAATTAAACATAACCCTTTGCTTCAGTACCGTCAACCTCCATGTCCATGGGGAGGGGGTATGCAATTTCAGCCTCAGCGTGCTCAACAAAAACTCTTCAGACCGACCATGATCACAGAAAAGGGAACTTTAAAGTACAAAAACATCACTGAAGACATCAAACGTCTAAAACCAGAAACAAAAGCACTTGGATGACTCTCTTGCCGTTCCTACTCGATATCAACGTGTGAAAATTGTGCGCTCGACAAATTACAGCATGAACATGGCTCTTCGAAAAGATGTCCAATACAAAATTGTAGAAAACTGATAGATGGTATCGAAACAAGTAAACAAATAAACTGGAACGAACTCACCAAATGAACGATGGTTTGCACGTGAAGCCAATACTTGAAAGACTGTTGCATCTCTTAATTCTAGCTAAACATTTCATAACATTCCTTCGGATCTTCAAAGAAGCTCTTGCACCTGCTTCCAATCAGAATCATCGATTATGATAAACGAAAACACTTTGGAATGCATTTCCAACCGATCACTTTCACTTTCTTGCACTAATAGCGAATTCGTTTATTATTCAGTTCCAGCCTGGATTGGGTCTGCTTGTTTTCTCAGTATAATGGGCCACTGTAATAATACTGCAAAAAATGGCACAGGCTTCGAAAACTCTCAATTACCAACTGTAGAAGTGCTCAAACAGTAAGTTTTGGGCCGGCGTAAAGTCCTAGTGGGAACCTAATAAAATCAAATTGTACTTCGTGTGGCTAGTGGTTCAGGCATATTGGCCCTTATTACGGGTGTCACTTCACGGTGAAAACGAAGTGAAGTGACCAGTTGTCACTCTTGGTGAAGTGATTGCCGTGTAAATCAAATGGGAATCACTTCACCGTGAGTGATAAGTTGTCACTTCACCGGTGAAGTGACATCGGTAATAAGGGCCATTGTGTGTGCCACGAAGTGAAAATTCGATACCCAGCCGGTGAAACTTTTCGTTCAAGGAAACTTCCCTACTAGTCTACGTGGCGTGGTGTTGTGTGTTGTTCGTTGTCTAGTGTTAAGTGACTGACAGATTGTCAATTATCTAAAAAAAGAAGACATTCAATTAGGACTTTAATGTTCTTTGAGCACCACCACAGTTGTTAATTGAGAGCTTACAATTATAGTCCATGCGCAGGGAATTCGAGAAATGCCCGAAACATTCCTAGACCGGATAGGAAATAGCACAACTCCCCCCTACAGAGAATAGCACCCACCCGCTTCCAGCATGTTCTTGCTTTATAGCTGCTCCTTTATCATTATTATTACAAAAAACTTTCCAGACACCAAGTAACGGAAATTATTGATTTTGGAGTTATAAATTTTGTCCAGATAGATTCCATTCCTAGCCTACTGTGTAATGCTAAAAAAGATCAAATATAAAGTAAACTAAATTATATACTATCAAATTTCTATATCTATCGTTACCTAGTGAAAAACAAATAAAAAATCATGTCTTCTTTCTATTAGTTTACTGAAAGTCAAGTGTAACTTGAGCAATTAAGTTTTTTACTTAGATTTTCGAAGAGTAAATGATACGAACATTTCATCAAATGATAACACAGTAGCTCATCCAGCTATTCTGAGTGAACAGATACCGTAAGAAATGAAGAATTATAAAATATAAATACTAGTATTTTTACCGTCTCAAGACGTGATCACCATTTTTCTAATAACCATGATCGTGTGCAAAAGCATTCTTTATTTCAAATTTCTGCCTAAAAAGAGAACATTTTTTCGCTTTCAGTGCGTTTCGTAATGCTTCAGTAGATCCTCCTTCCGCTTGTACGCCTTCGAGCAAAATTCGCAACAGTGAGAAGCTGCCTGGTGAGTGCGTTCATGTTGCTTCAGATTCCAAGCTGTTTGAAAGCTTTTACCGCACGTATCGCATCGAAAGGGGCGATCCTGTTTGTGATTCTTCCGCCTGTGCATCGTTAGCTGGGAATTGGTTCTGAACGTGTACTGACATTCGGGACATGCAATGTTGTGACTTTCCCTATGCTGTAGGTACTTGGTATACGATGTAAACTCCATGTTGCATCCATCACAGAGATAAGGACGTTTTCGATTTCGGTGAGTTTGCACGTGGCGTTCAAAGTTACCAGTATTGTTGAATTTACGATCACAATCACTGCATGTGTACACTAGCGAATGTACTCTGAAAACGATGTTGTTGCGGATAACTTCTCGGATATCTACCTCATATGGGAGCTTTCCTTGTTCGCTGGTGTTGTTGGGGAATACGAGTGGAGTTACCGGTATTTTTTCAATGATGGTATATTCAACTGTATCCATTGTTTCTTGTTTAGATGATAGACTTTATTTTTATGAAAATGATTGAACGAAAAATAATATAAAAAAAGAGCAAGCGACCTTGCACTTGAAATCGACTGAACATCGATATCTGTGCACCTGTTCCTGGTATAATTAGAATAAATCTACCTGTTCAAAAGCAAGAGAGGGATGATTAAAAAACCGGTTCTAGATTAAGCATAACGTCAATAACGTCGTGATAAACATAGATATGTTCAAATTCATTCATAAATCACATGACTTTTTCGTTAACGTTTGTAGTTTTAAGTTTTAAATCATATGAGTATTAATGTATTTCCTTCTTACAGTACATGACAATACAATGTCATCTCACATAATGTTGTTCGTTAAGCCGTGCTTTATTATTTTATTGTCAAATTATAATCCTAACTTTTTTATAGACAGCCCATTTTGAATTACAAAAATAGATTTACTCTCTTGCATTTATTAGAATAATAATACTGAATTTTTCAATAAATGTGTAGTTTTTGCCAATTTATTTTTTGAATACTGAAATGAAATAAACAGAGCGTGTAACTTTACATAACGTTTATAATATTTGCTGCCTCAATAATGACACATAACGGTTGTAGCACTCAGTAACGAAGGTAACGAGGAACTGTCAACGTATATCATTATTTGTTTATATACTTTTATAAAGACACTGAAAGATAAATGACTTTTTGCCGTGTAGTAAGTTAATTAATGTTGATTACAAACACTTAAAATGAACGTTCAAGAACAAACAGTGTAAGTTTTGTGATACATCATAGCTTTGGAACTTTTTAATACATAATGATGAAATGATCAATTATACATCTTTATCCATTCTCGTTCCAGTCCTAGCGATAACCCGAACGATTACTGTCGGCTCTGCTTCTCGGACCGCAACTTGGTGTCACTTTTTCCATGCGATGCCCAGCCAAGACAGTTCCTGCTGGACCAAATTTCACAGTGTACCGGAATACGAGTCGAGGAAGTTGAAAATCATCCTCGTTCAATTTGCTGGAGATGTGCAGTGGCGTTGGAAGACTTCCAACTGTTCCGGCAGCGGAGTCTGGCACACGATGTTATCATTAGAAAAAAGTATTCAACGTCAACCGTGAACGTTACTGAGGGGAACACGAAGTGGATCATATCAATCCCGGTACCAGAACCTTCATCAATTGATTGTGAAGAAGTGGAGGAAGATGACAAATCACTCATAGAGCCAATGGAATCGGATTCAAGTGCTATATATGGAGGATTCTCCAGTACAAAAATGAACGAATTGAACATGGGCGAATCTCATTCCACGAAATCTACTACTTGCCACCTGTGTAAGCATGATTTCGTTTCACGGCAATCACTTTACGCACACTTCAAAGAACAACACTCAGATCGTGGGCGACCCCACAAATGCGATCTGTGCCAAGCATCTTTCAAGCGTAGAAGTCATTTGGAGGATCACGTGTCGTCCCATACTGGAGAGGTCCGATATAATTGTAAGGACTGCGGAGCAAAATACGCCAAGTCGAAATCGCTTATGCGCCATCGCAAATTGGCCCATTCGACATTGCCGTTAACAATTAAGACAGTTAACAAACCAGGTCTAACTAACGGTGAGTTCAAGTGCAAATATTGCCCAAAATCATTCAAGCATCGCCCATCGTTGAACTTCCACATCAAATCCCATTATGACATGTTGCCACACGTGTGTGAATTCTGTGATGCTCGTTTTGCCAATGAGAAAGGAAAACAGGTGCACAAGGGTAAATATCATCCAGCTGATGTATTTAGAGCAGTACCGCCATCTTCCAAGGAGCCACAGAAGGTTATCCAATGTACTTTGTGTCCCCGTTACTTTGAACAACGTCGCTATTTGACACAACACATGAAATTTATACATCCCAACTATTCCGACGAAAGGCACAAAACTGTAGAAGATACACAGGTGGCTGAACAACAATCTAGCCAGCAAGAAACTGACGGCTTGAACCAGGTGGACGATGGAATGCAACCGGTGACGATAAAGTTCGAAGTGGAGGAAAACGGTTCAATGAATGGAGCTGATATTGATCATTCCAAGTGATTTGGAAAAACGTATTACCCATGCCATAACGTATATTATATTTCGAAATCAGAATGTACAGTTCATGAAAATAAATCAAAATTAAGTAAAAATGTATCTAGACTTTTGGATCGCAAGACCTTGTTAATACCTCATTTAACACACACCCAACCGTAAAATATAAGATTCTATTATCTATTTGATAAGATTTACAGAATTTTTTACAATCCACCCCATGAACTGATTCTGTGAAATGGTCATCGGAAGGGTTTTAAAAGATTTTTAAAAAGTTTATGTTTGCTATATTTTCAAACTAATTTTGATTCCCCCAATGTACTGGGGCTAGAAAATCGTCTTGTGAAGGTTTTATACGGAAAATATTCAGTCTGGTCAAACATGCCTGTACGCTTCAGTCTGCTGTAAGTACTGTCATTACATTTTTCGTTTATTGTAAAGAGTCATTATTATTATTTTTTTAAATAATTTCCTGTATATCTTTAAAAGTCTTACTGAAACTCAACTTGGAATCACAATTATTTAAAAAAAGGCATATAAAAAAAAAACCAGGCCACAATGAAAAGTCTGAACTTTTTTGTTTTCCGTCGATCTTGTTTTCCGTGCTGAGCACCAATCAATCGAAATACCGACGCCAGGGAAACAGCTCCCACACCTGGACTCTACCTATTGACCCATCAACTCATGAACCGGGGACGAACGATATTACTTCCCTCAGAACATCCCGACGGATTGAAGCCAGGCCTGCTGGGGTGAGAGGTAATCACGCTTACCACTACACCACCGGTGCCGCTTAAAAGCCAGAACTGAAATTACTCAAAAAATGCACCACATTCACGCACACCAATCTTGGGTCATCTTTTTTGTCAGTGTGCTTCAAGTGGGCCGTAGGTGTGCCAATTGTGCCGGTCATAGAGCAAACTGCGATTGTTTGTAAAATATCCATCCCGGGAACCCAGTATTTCTGACACCGTGAATGTTTTAGTTTGAAATCGCAATTGAGGATGACGCGGGAAGTGGCGGGTGTTCGAAATTTTGATGTTTTGTGTTCATAGGATAAATAAAAATCCTTGGTTTTAGGGTTTTATAATGCCAGAAACCTAGTCTTTCGTGATGTGAAAAGCAATGGTCTATCAGCGGTCGGAAAGTGTTGGAACCGGTGTGGAACATTGTTGGAGACCGACTTTTGAGGATGATGAATATGACTTCTGTAGATTGTTTTGTGTGAGTGGCAGCATTATTTGAATTAAGGGTATCAATGAGGTCTTATTAACTGCCTCTTTCTCTTGAGCCCAGTCTAGAACCTACATTTCGTATTTAAATCTATAAGTGAATCGAGAAGTGAACTGCTGATTCGAGTTCCTCTGGCATATTCAATTAGAGGTTGTTCCTGAAATATACACCATTATTTTACCGAAATCTGTGAAATTCTACCGAAATCTCAACAATTCAACGTTCGATAAACAGTTCGGTGTTTTTTCACAGATTTTCTGTGATTTTTCACAGATATTTGTTGAACAATTACAGGAAAACTGTGAAAAATCACTAAACAGTTTACCGAACGTTCAGCTGTTGAGATTTCGGTAAAATTAAACAGTTTTCGGTAAAATAATCTTAGTGTGTATAGTCAAACAGCACGTAATGTTGTGAACAACTTCAATGAAAGTTGTCCAGCAGTGCTCCCATTTTATTTAAAACAATCCAATGCCTACGAGATTGTACCGAAGGTGTGCCGAATCTAATTGTGACACAATGTGCTGGGTGACTTACCCCTTGATCACATTCCTAATCCAAAATATATAATCAGTCCAATCATGTAACGAAAATTTTCTCATACCACACATAAGCCCAGCAAGTAAACATTACCGTTATCATTTGGACATACTTTCAAATTTAAAATCATGACGTTTCCAAACCCAGCGTGTATTTTGTAATAATCGAACAACATTTTTGATTGAGTTAAATTAGATGGATCTCACCAAATTCTGTGTCTGGCAAATTGGATAAATCACTGGCTGATAAACTTTTCCGTGTATGCTTATATTGGTGCGCGCGTACACATAATTTTGTTTATCACTTTTTCTGACACAAATTATATGATCAAATCTTCCAAAATCCGTTGATACCACCACTATCACACACGTTGCAATAGTTATTTGAAATGTTTTCGGGTGATGACAATGAGTACAAAACAAAAACGTAACTGCAACATTTAAAATCGACCACTCTCGAGCAGAGGCTATTGCGTTCTTTTGAGTATTGTTAAAGTATTTTCCCCAAAATTCAGAGATTTTTTATAAATTCCATTTCAATTATTCCATCAAATATTCCTCAACATCCTGATGAATGTGGGCGTCTTAGTGGAATTCCTGTACAAAGAAAGAGAGAAGGATTGTAATTTCCATTTATTTCCATTACCTTATTTGCTTAACCTTGAAAGATATGCGTCTTCAGTGTCTTGTAGTCGAGCATTAGTAGCTTACGGATGCCGGACCGGTTCCCCTGAAATCTGATTCGGAACAAATAAAATGGAGGAAAGGATTTAAACAAAACATAACGAGCTCGGAGGAGTTCATAGGACTTCTCGGATAGTTTTTTTGAATTTACTGGGATATCCGTTGGAACCCGAAGCTTCCCATGAATAACGGGGAAACTTCAAGACCAACAATTGAAATGGCCTCACAAGGTTTGTTTACAAAATGAAGTTAAGGCCATTTCAATTGTTGGTCTTGAATTTCCTCAATAATAACCTCCTGCACTTTGAACTCATGCAGTTAAGTATTTTCAGAATGCTCAAAGGAAACCTCTTGCATTTACCTCTCTTTCGACCACTTGATAGCAGCATGCGCATGATCGGTACTCTGCTACTATGGCGAGAGCTCGTTGCTCTCTATGCATGGCTCATATACATATACCTCGTTGGCAAGCCATCAGAACCATATCTATCTATCTATCTATCTTCTATAATAGGGTATACGTCCCTAACCTCGGTCTAATATGCAGCCATAGATTACGTTTTTAATCATAACTCATCAATTAATTTACCTGCAAACGATATTCTACTGCTAAATGGTATGCTTAGATATGCTTATCATGTCGTTTGCTATCAGGAACCGCAAAAAGTTGAAAAACTTACTTTTTTTAAGACAAAAACTCACCAGGGAAATGTATGTAATATCGGTCTATTGTCCCCAAATTGGGTCTATTTATGGATGCAACTTCGTCCTATCCTGTTTGATTCTCAAAAAAAACGCTCTTGGTAACGTTTTCTTATGTATTTTTTTTATCACTATCACTGTTAACTTAATACTCTTCATTCCTCAAAACATTTCTTAGAGAAAATTTTACGAAAACTACATTAAATCACTCAAGTTAAAAATTAAAAATTAAAAATTTCGCTTATCGTCTTTCGACCGCAGAATATCTAAATCAAAACATTGTGATGTTCATTATACAGATTTGGCAGAAAAAATCTCCCTTCCTGTTCGTTCCTTATCATCCAAATGCAAACCACATTGTTGACGTTACTCTTATTGCTATATGCTGTCAAATGAATTTCATGGGCCAAAGTTAGGAACATAGAAAAGAAATGTGTCCCTAAAGTTGGGTCCATGATTTACTTGTGAAAACGTTGTTAAACAATTAAAATAAACATAAAATATTCAAACAGTAACTGTGAGTTTTACGTCTAGTGTGTATTATCAGGTAATTCCATTCAATAAATGCCATAATCAGGCCATTTGATGATCGTCAGTGCAACCTTCCCATCTTAACCTTAGAAGTCATGGCGGCTAAAAACTCCGAACAGAGTGATATTCTCAACCAGTTTTATTACTTACGAGAGCTGAAAATGTATTGAAATGTTGTGATATAAATTGATTTGTGTGTGGTACACATTTATCAATCATCAGTGATCAATATTTTCCTTATTTTTTGTGTAATATTCCTTAATTAATTATTTATTTGCGTGATAGGCCGAATGAAAGGACTAGACCCACATTACATACCGTAACCCTATATATTTTTTTTTCCTTTGGTTTGTTTTTTCCGTCGATCTTGTTTTCCGTGCTGAGCACCAATGCTACCGACGTGCCAGGAAGGCAGCTCCCACACCTGGACCCTACCTATCGACCCATCAACTCATGAACCGGGGACCAACGGCTTTACTTCCCATCCGAAGGAAGGCGTGATCAGAGATGTTATGCCTCAGAACATCCCGGCGGCGCCGACTGGTATTGAACCCAGGCCTGCTGGGGTGAGAGGTAATCACGCTTACCACTACACCACAAACATTTTTACGAGTTTTCGGAAATGCCAACTTCAATTATATTTGAGATGAACTATTATTGATCGCAGTGCGAGTATAATTTTGAATTTCGTTTTCAGTATTTATATGGAGAACTTCATATTAAAACTTCATGGTTTGATTTGCGAAGTTTTGGGAACTTTGTTTCACCCAGATAATTAGAAAAAACGTAGAACAGGTTCAAAGTCTTTCCTGAAGTTTGGAGAAGGTCATGGAATTGAGATCTTGGTTGAATTGAGAGAACTTAGAAATCAATAATGATTGAACTTGAAAGTAGTTGATGGAGCTTCGTAGAAGTTAAGAAGCAAGGACAAGGAACATTAGATCAATTTTTCCGCCGCTCAAAATTTTGTTTTTGGCAAATGCCATCGCCACCTGCTGAAAACGGTGCTGTATGTTACCTATTCACCGTTCAAATTCAATCCTAAACTTATGGTCCTTTCTGATTCGTAAACAGATTGTTGTCAAAAATTGATGTGTTTGACGCGTTACATCATATATCATTGATTACATCTGTACATATGGTTCAAAACTGATTTTGAAGGAGCTGATCCAAGATCCGCAAACGGTAATATGACTCTCGAAGAAACCTAAGATGAGCATTATTTGCTTGTCGTATGAAAGTTTTTCTCCAGAATTTTTTTTTTCTAGAACCGATTCCATAGGACCCGGAATGAAGTCATGATCGTGCTATGATCTCCAAACCTTAAATGGATCTTATGCTTTCCAATCTGGGATGAGACCTGAGATAAGCTACATTCGCTTTCTTTACAAAAGTTAAATTGAACCAAATACAATCAGACATTAAATATCATGTCAAAGGCCAAATAAATAAACTCGGTTAACTGCAAACAATGTAATACGTCAACAAATATCTTGACAAATAAGCTAGTAAAATAACCATTTTGTAGTATTTGGTCAAATAATGTTAGGTCAAATATTTGCCAAATATCAGACAAGTGTAATGGTGTAGGCAAGCAAATACGACAAATTGCAATATTTGGCAAAACATAACGAGTCAAATATTTGACGTGTGGGCAAACAGTGTGATATCAGCCTAACTCTAAGACCAGGGGGTTTGGCAGAAACATGCTCAATATTTTAACTCAGGAAGTACCAGACCTTCAGTCCCAAGCAAATTGAAGCACCCCACGAAACGAAAGGAAATCCACGAGCCCCTCATTAAACTCTTTTTTTTTTACTAGTTCGTTTATTTACTAGGCTCAGTCGTGTGTGACACTTTGCGGAGCCAAAATCAGTAATGTTTGATTTACATTTTAAATAGCAGTATTTCTAGGTTAGTATTGGGTACCAATTACTCGTGGCGGGCTCGAGGTTAATGGGTAACAATTTCAATTGGAAGGATCTAGGTAGGAAACTGGTTTCTGAAGCCTCCTTCAGATACTACTCTCGGACGGTTGACCAAATCCTGACTGGGCAGGGGCAAGTAGCACAGGAACAGGAGGATAATAAGACTGGGACACAATGGCGGGAAATTGTTTGGAAAGGAGGGGATAGTCACATCAAACTCTAACATCAGACGAACAAAGGAATTCGTAGATCGCTTGCATGTAGGGAAGATCACGTGTTCCCAATAAATCTCTTACTTCACGGAAGGGTTGTCTACCTCGGGCCACTAGGGTATCCAATAGTCGTGCTCTGGAGGCGTCATTACCCGGGCAATACCAAACTGCGTGATCGATGTCATCATAACCAGTTCTGCACCTACATATATTGCTGTCAACGAGGTTTATTCTATAGAGATGTGCGTCTAGCGAGTAGTGGTTGGACATAAGTCTTGACATCACTCGAATGAATCCCCGACTTACATCCAGACCTTTGAACCACGCTCTCGAAGAAACATTTGGAATAATGGAATGTAACCACCGCCCAAGAGAATTATTTGTCCAATCGTTTTGCCAACTTAAAAGAGAACTCTGACGTACTAATGGGAAAAATTCATCATGTGAAATTCTTCTATCATAAATCTCGCCTTGTTGTGCGCCCACCTTTGCGAGAGAGTCTGCCTTCTCATTGCCTGGGATTGAGCAATGTGAGGGGACCCATACAAAGGTAATCATATATGATCTTTCGATCAGCAAACTCATCTGCTCCCTTACCTTTGAAAGGAAATAAGATGAGTGCCTACCTTGTTTCATCGACCGAATAGCCTCAATCGAACTGAGACTATCCGAGAAGATGAAGTAATGGTCTATGGGCATATCGGAAATCATCCCCAATGCGAAGTTAATTGCTGCTAGCTCAGCAACATAAACGGAACAAGGTTCCTGAAGTTTCCGAAAGGCGGTTGAGTATTCATTGAAGACGCCGAAGCCAGTGGATCCATCAATGCGTGATCCATCAGTGAAAAATCTTCTATTGCAATTGACTTGTTGGTACTTTTCAGCAAAAATGTGGGGAATTGAGATAGGTCGAAGTTGATCTGGAACTCCTTGAATAGCCTGTTTCATGGAGAGATCGTAGTCAATGGGGGAACTGTAGTTAGTAAAGCATACACGAGAGGGGGTATAGCAAGGAAGGCTAATATCCGATGACATATAAATAAGATAGATTCGCACGAATCTAGACTGGATGCTCAATTCGAGCATTTCTTCGAAGTTTTCAATCACAAGGTTGTTACTGACACTACATTTAATCAATATTCTTAATGAGAGCTCCCAGAAACGGTTCTGCAGGGGTTTTACGCCCGCTAGGACCTCTAGGCTCATATTGTGTGTTGAATGCATACAGCCAAGGGCAATACGTAAACAACGATATTGAATACGTTCCAATTTGATTAGGTGGCTTTTTCTTGCCGAGTGGAAGCAAAAAGAGCCATACTCAAGAACTGAAAGAATAGTCGTTTTATATAGTTTAATGAGGTCTTCCGGGTGAGCACCCCACCATGTCCCGGAAATTGATCGTAGAAAGTTGATCCTTTGTTGACACTTTTGTTTCAAATACGTAATGTGGGTACCCCATTATAAATTTATTTATAAATTTATAAAACTCTGTCAAATTTATAAGGCGATTCAAAACAAACACAAACTTTGACAGATTCTAGTACGATAATGGGGTACACTTATAGATGTACTTAGGACCAATGTAATGAGCCAGTTTAAAATATAGTCGCGATATTTCCAGTCTGGCGAATAGCATGTCGGGAACCAATTGAGCTGTCAAATAGCGGAACTAATCGAGCATATCATGACCAAAAACAGAAAAGAACACCACTGTCAATTTCAGGCATAACATTTGATAACGGCACAAAAGCATTTGTAAACAAAATTTCTGAAGCCATTTACACGCGAACCAAAGTACGCACACGCAAACCAAAAACATCATTGGACAAGAGAAACTATCACCTTTCCGAAAGTGGTATTGGTTTGCGTGGGCGTACTTTGATTAGCGTCTAAAGGGTTTTAGAAAGTTTGTTTACAAATGCTTTTGTAATGCTTTTGCTTTTAAAACAAACTTCCCTAGCACAGACATCAAAGGTTACGTAATAAATCAAGATTTTCGACACGTGATTTACAATTTTGTTTAAAAAATGATCGATCAAAAATGCTCACGTTACCGAGTAGATGTACAATTACGCGACTTTCTTAATATGGGTGAAGTGCGTCTTTTTCGATGCGATGTCACACAACTTTTTTTACTGTGTAGATATCTCAACAATTCGTTTAAAATGCTGAAGAATGCATAGTAACGCAAACGGTTCGATTCATATAACAATCGTTACAAATTTGTTCAAATCGTTACATGTGGATGTATGCGAATTTATTCACCACCGTCTCTCAGCAGTTACTCGGTTATGCTATTCGAGAAACATAAGCAACATAGCATGTAATGCTCATGCTGCATAGCTACAGAAAAGGACCTGTATGCGGCGGTGGCCCACCCTTCCTACCACTACAACTATCGGTCACAGGCAGGTAGTGGGTCGAGTTTGGTGTGGTTCCCTTTCTTCTGTGCACTGTACAATATGCATAGGTACGTGTATTTTGGATATCGCTGAGAAACCTTAGAAGATTGAACCAAAACAAAGCCGGCTCGTGTGAGTGCCGTTGTACCGGACCGCGACCAATACCGATGCACTGGGAGAAAGTAAACCTAATAGATAGACGGAATTGTGGAAAACGGTTCTCGACCGAGGTACGGAATCGGGACAGAGGCCACAACCGAGTTAGTATTTATTTTCGTTTCGACCTGAACACTTTGATTTTTTTCGCGCATTGGAGACAGACTGTTTGCATGTTATTTTGCTGCCGCTGGGACTTTTGTGGTTCTTGTTTGTTATATAGTTGAGTGTGTTGGTGGGAAAGGAGGATTATGACCAGAAATAAGATAAAGAAGGAGCGCTGACTGAAAAAAGGAACATATTAGGGCGAAGGGAAAAAGGGATCGGCCACTTTTGGGTCCCTGATGCATTTTTTAGGCATTCTTCAATGGTGCATCGGTTGCAGTGTTTTAGAAAGCAACCAGTAAAAATTGAGGAGAAAACTCTTACTGCACTGGGTGTATTATCGGATGTACTGAGAGCTGGTTGTTTTGTGTATTCTTTCCTGAAATGTGTACTCAAAGTATTTATTTTAGTTGAAACTAAATGTTAAGTGTATATTTTTATCGACTAAAGACGAGTGTTTCGTGTCGTGTGGGACTATCAAATCGTAGTAGCTTCTACCGGGACAGTGAACTTCTCAACTATGGTGAGGTACAGCGGGCAGTAGTAACAAGGGGATATTCGCCAACAAAGATCGTCTGCCTTGACCGTACAACAAAGAAACAAGCTTAAGGGTGAAAGTGCCTGTAGACTGCGCTGGATAAAATCTTCGGAGATAAGGTGTTAGACTTATCAGAGCTTGAACGGGCGGATAAGGTAAGTGGAGTGCGGCGTTTGTCTCTTAAGTTAAAATATCACTACTTTTTATTTTAATTTTGGTGCGTATCTAATCTAGTGGAAAAAAACTACGATGAAAAAAAATGTACTGTTCTTCTTTACCTTTCTCTTGAATTCAACATTTCTCTTTCTCGCTGGTGAAGCATACTCTCCTATGTGATACTCTTCTATGAGCGGCCCGTGCGCTCTATTCACGATTCACTTTCCGCTGTTGTAAATACACAAAACTATATTTTTCTTCGTTCATGGCACTTTACAAGCTTTTTTTCCTATCTTCCTTGCTTCGCATTCATTGTAGTGTAAACACACACATTGCATACTAAATAAGTAAAGTGAAAAAGCAGAGGGAGAAAAACTATCCGATATACACACCAGAGAGGAGTGCAGAGAGGAGACACGATTTTTTTTTCATTAAATGACGAAGAAAATGGTGGGATGCGTTGAGCGGGTGGGTGAATTGTGCGATAGTTCGCTGATGCCACAATTCACAGTACACCCACTGATCATAATCGATCGTTATCTCCTCTAATGTGTGAAAGATGAAAAACACCACAATTTTCAAATTAAACCATGTTTATTTACAAAATTATCAACATACTTGAACAATCACTGAAAACAAACAATTAGATGTGTTGTTTGGCTGATTAATCTAGGACATTTGAAGATTTAAAAAAATCTCTATGAGATTTTTAGCCGTAGGCTAGTTCATCTCAGAGGAAATTTTAAGATAATTTAATTTAAAATTTATCAACTATTATTCTTGGAAACATTGGCAACGTGAGTCCACATTTGAAAATGCCTTTTTTCGTACATAAAATCGAGGAATGTAAAAGTCTTTTAATATATTGTATAAATTACAAACAGATCCTGAGAGGTAGTTGTCGGAAGACTTTTAAATAAATTAATGATAGCTAATTTTATGAACTGAGTTGATTTTCTACAATGCATTGGACCTAAAAATCTTGTGACGGTTTCTTAGGAAAATACTACTTAATACCTGATATATAAATTCACTGGTGATATCTGACCCTTACTATTCATCTGGCTCTCAAAAAGAACTATAAACTACCCAAGGTACAAATGGAACATGTCATTTTGTTCAAGTTAGAAAGTGGCCACTTCCCCTAGGGTTCCTGGAACATGTCCGAATGTTTCCAATATGGTCCTGGACACTTTATATATCCACAATTGAACTTGTTTTTGATTTCTCATGTGTGCCTCAAGGTGTGGCGTGATGTGTTTTGGTTCAATTCAGAAACTGGATTTAAGATGTGACATTTGGACATTTGGACATGAACTTAAAATAATTAAAATGGTTTCTAGGCTTACGATCCATATTCATCGGAACATGTTCCGGCCATATCTCCGGTATATTCAATAGCGTTAAGTGGAACTGCAATACCTTTCATTTAGCGACTGTTGCGGGCAATTCGGTCCAGTGGTTGCTGGGAAATACGTTGCCCAAAATTGTGTAACACACATACATTCACAGCATCATATAGTTCTATATGCCTGCTGGATACACTCGGAAAACTCTTGGAGAGGATAGTCCTGCACAGGCTGACGAAATCCACGGATAGTGAGCACGGATTATCCGGATTTTGGAAAGGGAGAACGCTGGATGCAATTGGGACAGTGGTTGAGAGAGCCGACAAGGCGTCCAAACACAAGCGGAGAGGAGATCGCTATTGCACCGTGATAACCATCGACGTCAATAATGTGTTTAACAGCACCAACTGGAATGAAGAATGAAGGTCTCTGACTACTTGTGCAGGATCCTGAGGAGTTACTTCCAGAACCGGGTTCTGGTCTACGAGACAGACATGAGACAGTGATCGATTTGGGGCACGGCGGGAGTTCCACAAGGCTCCATCCTTGGTCCAACGGTCTGGAACGGGATGTACAACGGCGTGCTGACGCTGAAGCTGCCCAAAGGAGTCAAGATCGTTGGCTTTGCGGACGACGTCGTCTTGACGGTAACAGGTGAGACGCTGGAATAGGTGGAAATGTGGGTGACCGTCTCGATTGACATGATTTGTAACTGCATGCAAGTAGTGAAGGTGCAGATAGCCCAACACAAAACGGAAGTGCTATTGGTCAGTAACTGCATAGTAGTGCAGCGAGCAGAAATCACCGTCGGGGAGCGGGAAAACGGCACCAAAAAAAAAATCCGTTCCCATATTCGTGAACGAGGGCCGTGAACTATAGTTTACGGTGTACATTTCCTTCTACACACGGACCGTGAACTATAGTTCACGGCTGCCGTTCACGAATATGGAAACTGATTTTTTTTTCGAGCATAGCCTCAAAGCGCGTGCTGGAGTATCTCAGTGTGATGATCGACGACCGGATAAACTTCAACCGCTACGTCGAGTATGCCTGTGAGACGGCGGCGAAAGCCATCAACGCGGTAGCCAGAATCATGCCGTATAACTCTGGTCCAAGCAGTATCAAGAGCCGTCTTCTGACTAGTGTGCCCTCGTCGATACCGAGGTACGGAGGTCCAGTTTGAGATGCAGCGCTAGAAACCAAGCAGAATCTAAGGAATCTGAACAGTACGTATCGGCTCATGGGTTATGCGATTCGTGAGTGCCTACAGAATTATTTCGTCGGAAGCAGTATGCGTGATCGCTGGAACGATCCCTATCGGCATCACTCGCGAACAGCGGATAGCGAATGCTGTAAACGGAGAGAAACCAGAGGATCACGAAAATTAGAGAGAACGGAGTCGATGGCCAAGGGGCAACATGAATGGGACTCGGTGGAGAACGGTAGGTTAATACCGATTCTTTCGATCTAGGTGAAACGTCGGAGCACGTGCTCTTCGACTTTCTTCGGTTTGAAGCTTTGTTAAGGAAGATGCCTGTCTTTAGCGCAGATAATGTCGCCGAGGAAATGTGTCGAGAAGAGGGAACCTAGCATGTCGAAAAAATAGTAAAAATGACAAAACGAAAAAAAAGATCTGATTCGTTCTCAATACACACTAAGATTTTTTTACAGGAGTCAGTATTTTTTTACTGGGTTTTTGAATTGCTGAAAAAGTCGGTAAAAATTCAAATGACCGTTATCCGTAAGGAATCAATGAAATCGACCAATTTTATTTTCTATCATTAAATGGGGTTAACAGAACTAAGTATGTACAAGTTCAGAACAAATATTCTCATTAATAAATTTTCCACAGATTTTTAAACTTTTACCGAACAGTTCCGCAATTCAAAAACTCGGTAAAACCGTACTGACTCGATTAGTGTGTACAGTATGCTAAATATTAATTTTCAATGAAAATAGCGTATACTCTACCAGGAAACTACCCTCAGGAAAGATCAATCAAAAAATCAAGAGAATCAGTACTGATGTAACTTTGTTGAGGGGTTTTAAAGAACTTCCAGCAAAAAAATTCCAGGAAAGTTGGAAAAACATCCAGGAGAAGCTGACAGAATCTGTCGGGAGATCATCATCCAGGAAACTTTTGGAACAAGTCGACGAAACTTTCAGAGAAAAAATTAGGGAAAATTCCGGAGAAAGTCGGAAGACAATATCGGGACAAATCAGTAGGACTTCTGGGGGGAAGTCAGAATGATCTTCTAGGATAAATTACATGAATTTTCCGGTAGTAATCAGAAGAAACTTCTAGAGGATGCCTGAAAAAAAAAAACTCACAGATGATTGTCGTGACCGCAACGAAGTTTCCAGCCTCGATCACGGCTACACGAATCTGCAATGCTCTCGGCTGCTCTGCTTGACTGCTGTGGTGCTACAGTTCATGCTGCTACTGTTGCTGCTACTGCTGCTGCTTGTCCGCCAAAATTCGTCACAAGAATTTCCTCAACGGGCTTCAGTAGCCCGTATTTATACCCTACGTATTTTTCATCCGTTTCCTCATGGGCTGCTATCTGTATCGGAATTTGTTGCACGCCAACGAGATTTTACTGAAAATTGAGTGTTTCATTACTTGATTTAACCATAGAGGTAACTCTAAGACCAGAAGGTCCCGAAGAAACGTGCAGACAACGCGGCAAGTGACATGCAGTCATGTATCTAGCAGAACAGAGACGACTTCTATGTACAGTAAAGGACAAGCAGGCCTTATTCTGAATGGTATGTACTAGAGAGGGTCTAGTATGAGAGAGGAGCGGATTAAAAACAAACTGCCCTGGCAACCTACAATGTCAAGGTGATTTCTAGCAACACTGCCAATGTAATCAAGATAGGCGCTGCTCGATTCGCTCTAGCTTTGACATATCGTTTGACTCAAAACCAGCTAGTCCGCTCCTGTCTTATACTAAACTCTCTTAGTATGTACTTACTATGGAATGTTAAGAATGGTTTTACTAAACTTTCTTATTGTGGTCTGGACGATCGGTGGTTCTTCCAGCAGCTCTCCTGTTCTGGTAGGCAGTGATTTACCAAGCCGGAGGTGGAGGGTTTGATACATTTCCCCCCAGACAACCAGAGTGTTTGCATATCATAGAGGATTTTGCAATATGCGAACAGTGTGGAAAGCTCGATACATCCACGCTCGGTAATGGCGGCTTATGCGGGTTTTAAAATGCGTATACAGTAGTTTTTGGCCCTTTTTATCCTTCGATCTTATTTTCCGTATTAAGTACCAATGATACCGATATCAGGAAGGAATCTCCCACACACCTGGACCCTACCTATCGTCACATCAACTCATGGACCGGGGACCAACGGCTTTACATCCCTTCCGAAGCAAGGCGTGATCAGAGATTTTATGCCTCGGAAAATCCCGACGGCGCCGACTGGGATTAAACCCAGGCCCTTTCGAATGAGAGGCAATCACGTTTACACCATCGGATATTTTTGGCACTTACTGGAGGTTTGACGTGTTCCTCCTCCCTTTACCCCTCCTAGGAACAGAGGAAAATGAAACGACATGTGTTAACCAGCTAGTACAAAAACAACAGCAAACGCTGCATTTAAAACCCCTTGCAAGCGGCCATTACCGAGAGTGAAAAGCTCAACAAATAACTCGTATACGGTAATCCCTTCATTTATGCGGTGGGTGGAACCGTCCACCCACCGCTATCTCTCTGCCGTCTTTCAATCAATTGAGCCGACCTTCTGTAGATAAGTAGTTTATGGTTGACACTATAGATACTATAGATTCCATAGATAAGCGGAGGCACAAAAAGTTGTTTTGGCAACCATGAAAAATAAATGATCCTACTGGCATCCGTGAAAAAAGTTCATGCCATCATAGAGCTCTTCGTTGTGCAGTTTTGTTTTGTTTCGTGCGTAAAAGATCAAAATGAAGTGCAAAGCAGATCTTTGCAACAATGAATCGAGGATCTTTCCTTCTTCCCTTGTTCGCGAAATAAATCGGAATTTGGAGTGTGGATAGCGTTTTGTGCTCATAATATTACAATTCAGTGCCAACATTTCAAAGGGGCGTAATTGCATTTGTAAACAATAGCTTTTGCCGTCGATTTCTCGCGAATAAAAGCTCACTCAAAATAATGACACCACCAGGTAGAGGAATGTTTCCTTTACAGCTAGCATTGTAATTTTGGAGAGGTAAGATTTCATTCGCGGAAAATTTACGGCTAAAGTCATTGTTTACAAAAGCAATTACGCCCCTTTGAAATTTTGGCACTGAATTCTTCTCCCTCAAACAACACCATGATGAAGTCATGCTCGTTTGGCTACTCTAACTGACAGTTCGTTTGGCTACATTATACTTTGCGTCCGCTTATCTATGGAATCTATAGTATCTATAGTTGACACTAATCACATACATAAAATCAGCGCTTCCGCTTGAACGACAGCCAAGACACAGCGGTAGGTGGACGGTACCACCCTCCACATGAATGGAAGAATTACTGTATAATGCACAAAAAGAACTTTTACGTACAAAAGTGGTGGTCATATACGTGCAAATTTTAATTTCCTTTATAAACTTTGATTTGACATAATATTCGATTTATTCTGTAATAACAGTTTGAACAATTTAATACGATACAAAAATGATTAATCGAAGAATTTCTTTATCATATGCGTTGTTGACTAAATATGTAGTGCTATACGATTCTTCATTTCAATTATTATATTACTTCTGTTTGTCTGGGCTCAACCCAACTAACAATTTTAGCTGCAGATTAGCTTATACAGCCAAAAATTGGCTTATACAGCTAATTTTTGCCTGTATAAGCTAGTCTGCAGCTAAAATTGTTTGTTGGGAGCTTTCCTGCTTGTAAAGAGTATCATTGTGTTGACAAAACAAAATACCAATTCACCAAAGAAAGCTCAATAACTGTGGAAATTGAAGCAGTGATCACTTATTTGAGAAATTATGCAAAAGAATACGTAACAGATTTGAACAAAATTTGGTTTCTGTGGCTATTTTGTCGATATTTTCCCTACTTTGGAGCACTTCATATGTCTCCTTTAATAATTGATGAAATATTGGATATATACATACTTACTCTGTTTCTATATATATTTATGTATTGTTTTTTTTTTTTATTATTATTTTGGTCTACTGATTTGATTTGTTAGGTTTGTGTTGCGTCAGTTAAAATAAATATGTTTGAAACGAGTTGATATTGTTAGTTTATTTATTGTTAAATTATTGTTAGGTTTATCTGATCGTTAAATAAATCAATACGATACGCTTTAGAAAATATTTTTTGACATTTGAAATCCACAGTCATTTGAAGTAATAAAATCGTACATAATTGATACAAACATTGACTTGTTTCATTTCAGAATTCCAATGACCTTGATGGAAGCTAAAAGGTACTAATAACACTTCCGATTTTGTACACAAACATGGATTTTATGATCATATTTTGAATATATTTTATCAATGGCGTTTTGAAGGGGTGAACGAAACGTGTGCTATCTACGTTTGTCCTGGAACCATCAAGCTCTCAACTAGGTATTTTTTAGTGTTTATTTACAGTTATTTGTTGTTCGATTATTAACACATGAGTTCGTTAGTGTATTTGATGGATCGTAATCCTAGAGCAACATGTGAAAAAGGCTTATGTAGCAATGACTTTAAACGTCGATTTCTCGCGAATAAGGACTCATTCAGGTAAACCGACACCAGAATCTAGTAGAAGAAGCTTGGTCTTTCAGATGGTATACTAAGTTTGCGTGGGTTTTTGTTGTTACTGAGGCGTGTTGTTGTGTTGTGTTTCGACGTTTAAAGTCATTGTTTACGTTAGGCTCAAGGCCCTTTTCGCATGTTGCTCGAAACTTTTTATAGTAGATTCACTTCTTGCTTTGGAGAAAATAAGTGCGTGGTTTTCCTAATGATTATGAAGAAGATTCAATGCTTTTCTACCAATTCATTAGAAAGTGCAATTTTTCACCAAAGTATAGATTGAATCTCCTATAAATATCGAAACACTGTACACTCAGTAAAAATCTAAGCTAACTAGTTTAAAAGTCTCACTAAATAGAGAGAGAATACGAACTTAGTATAAAAATCGTTTATTCGTCACAATGTATAAAATTGAAATAAACATATGATGCACAATTAATTAATCTTGTACACATTTATTGTTACTATTTATTAAACGTTTTATACCTAATATTGTAGGAATAGCTGCGATCCAACCCAACAGTTGGTGGCAATCCTCTTCGTAGGTTTCCGTCTTTATGATGTTCAGCCCGAGCTACTCATGGGGCTTCGATTCGGTCCGGTCTAGGAATTTTTCGAGTTGGAAAATTTGTCGACTTCCCTGGGCATGGAGTGTGATTGTACTTGCCACACAATTATACTAACGCAAAATGGTACATCGATGCCTGCTCTCAATTAATAACTATAATAAGTGCATCTAGAACACTAAGTTAAGAGCACACAATAAGCTAATATGCGATATGCAATAAGTTTGAAATGCAAAGAAGAAGAGCTACTCATTCTTTTGGTGGGACCGGTGTTATTTGATTTTCTGCAATGCTTCATCCAGATTCCTCACTATTTCTCGTTAAATCATCAAGCACTATCTGTAGTGGCTTATTCCTAACGATGGCCGCGTGTATCTGTCCGAAGAAGTTATCCGCTGCTCGTACCGTCATTCAAGTTCATGACCGCCAGCAGGCCTTCGAATGTAAAATACCAACCCAGAGCATCTTTCATGGCATGTCTGTGAACTCAATCCTTGTAACTTGTTCTATTTCGTCTAAATGCCGCAGTTGTCGCAGACTGTTACCATAACGACCACTTTCTTGAGACGAGGCATATTTTTCTCCAGCAACGGATGTGGTTCGACTATTGCTTAAATTTGGTTTAAATTTAGATAAATCTTTCAGATTATTACCGCGGTACGATTTTCCAGGTTCAATAGGAAGAGAGGCTTCGCAAAACAATTTGAACATTAACCAGCACCAAATTGTTCACTAGAAATGGTTGAAATGAAAAATGGTTGGTGATATGATTCTGAAAGCGCTTTGGTTAAACAATTACTTGATGTTCGATATTCATACTTAGCATACAAATCAAACAATGTTAGATTACTTGTTAAGTAAATCGGTACATATTCGATGTTTAAACCGATTATGTATAAAAGTTAATCATTCTTTGCTTAGTAATATTTTTGGGTGTGACTATCAGCTACAGTGCTGGTCATACAAAATAATACACCATGATTTTATCGCCTCTATATAAAAGTTCAAAGAGCTGTTACATTACAGTATGCGCATTATTTTTTTTTTGAATTTTTAGCTGTTGGTTGATTAAGTATTCCGATTTTATTTGTATAGTATAATTAGTGATGTGGTTGGTCAAGTATGTATAAAGTTAGAGCAGTTTTAGTAAATCGCTTCTATTCTTCCATTTTTCAATATGTTATTTCTCGAAGTACAATGAACTTAATAAGCTAATTATTTTATCATTTGTTGTCAGTAGGTTATTTTTCTTTTAAACTGTTTCAAATTGGCTCAAACCGATTCACGACAAAAAAGTTAGAATTTGGTTTTTGTTTCAAAATCCTCAAAGTATGGTTAAAAATAACATTAATGCTTTGGAATCCGAACGTTGGAAAAAAAATCTAAATAGTCTAAAATACGCTCCAATATGGGTATTTTTTCACGAGCATGTCGATGCTTTTGGCTGCAAAATAAAAAAGCAGAGTGGCTCAATTTTTCATAGACGGCGAAAAACAGGTTGACCTATTGTATTTTTTTAGTCGGGAATGGATTTAACTCTGGATTTACGAACAGTTCAAAAGAATAACCTTTTGACAAAAATTTTTTTTTGTTGATTTGGTTCATTGTGTTTTCGCGTTCGGTTTTGACAACAAGCCCGAAAATTGATTGTTTCTAAAATCGATCCGAGCCAAAATCGAACGGTTATATTTTTAAATTTAATGTATGGTTTTGTGAGTCGTACTATTAATATTTTAATAACAAGGAACAAAAATACCTTATTTTCAATTCGTTCGATTTTGAAACGGTGCCGAAATTGAACCGTGTCAAAAACGAACGGGTACTGTACTTCAAGAAAAAAACAAATTGAAAATGTATACATATATATAAGAAGTGATTTACTAAAATTGCACTAAATGTATACAGACTTGAACAATCGAGTCACAAAATTTCATAAATTTTGATGTACATGATGAAAAATGACAGCTCTTTGAACTTTTATGGATAGACAAAAAATAATAATGATGCACACCGTTCGAAAAATTCATGTAAATTTCTACGAGATATAGCGCACATAAAATTAACGCTAGATTTGGCATACATTTACGCGATATTTCGTGTAAATTTAAGCGCAATATCGAATAAATGAGCAAGCTTGCAAACGATTTTGCTGTTTATGCCAAGTATAGCTCAAAATTAATCGAAGGGAGATTTTACGCGATAGTTAAAATTCAGATTTTTTTTTCTGTGTACTGTAGAATGATAATTCATAAAAACCTTATCCATAATGTGTATTGAAAGATTTGCTTTAAATTAGTTTCGTTAAATTACAGCACTACGTACTACTTGTTGTATTATATGGATTGTATACACCTCACATTATTTTTTAATCTAATTTTTAGTAAATTTACAGTAAGCGTTGTTTAGAGCTAAAATTTCGCAAACCTTGTTCACTTACACACTTGGAAAAATTCATGTAAATTTAGGTGCTTTGAGACTGAATTCAGCTCAATTAATCGTATTTTATGTCGATTAACGAACTTTTCAGTCTGGAATCACTTAATTTTACATGAAATTTTTGTTTACGTTTCATTGCTTATGTCAAAGATGTATTCCGTCACGTCAAATTATAAAAATACATAGTGTGTGTAGGAGGTGATGATGATGCGCCTTTTATCAAATATATCATATTAACAATATGATCCATTCATGTCTTTTCCAAATGTTGCAATGGCGACCCGCAAAATATTGCTTCACAAACCATCTAGCGTTGAAAAAGGTTAGCAACAATCATTCAATTACAATCGAGGGGTGTGAATATAGCAGTTATTACAAAAGTAAGAGTCAAATTATTTTCATTAATTACATTGTGTGTATTACTATTAAATTTGTCTAACATGTCACTGTTGTCATAAAATAAATAAAATGCCGAAATACATTCATTTGAAATATTAAACAAATTTTCATTTGGTTTACTCCTCGTGACGATAAACAAATACATTGGTAGCCTTTTTGGCCACAGAGGTGCTTTCATCGCTAAATATTCGGTTCGCCAGCCAAGCGAAAGAGTGAATCATATTGTTAATATATTTGCTTTTATGCATGATCACAACAATTAATTTGTTGTGGGATTTCAAGAATACGCTGAATTTTGGGAGTTCCTTCTTTTGAACGTTCTGTCCAATTGATTGTTAATTGTTTGAAATATTTCTCAAAAGTTCGGAAGATTCCATTCGTTTCGAACGACACTTAAACCATTACAGTAGTGTAATAGTGTAGCATTGTGAAGATCTTCCACGAACGACATTTAAGTCGAGTCGTGGATCATGCGAGACATTGAAACGGGAGGTGTAGGTAGATATATGCGCGAAAAACCGATACTATGAAGTGAGTGTAGAGTGTGTGTTCTTCACATGCGGCAATTTCGATGCTGATACACACTGCACACATTATGCTGCGATGTTTATGCTGCGCTAATGCCAAAGGGAAGTTGTTGACTGCTGCTGCTCTCGGGTTCAGTTCAAGACTGTAGCAGGCCAAAAGCCGATGAATTTCAGAGGAAAAAATGTAATAATGAAACGGGTGGGAATGAAAGAACGCAAAAGAGTAGATGAAAAAAAAACTTGACTGGCGGATGAATGTTACACACCATCTGTTATTTACGCTATTTTTCTTTCTTTAGCCATATTTTCTCCTTTTTCCATCCAACATTAAAACAATAACAAAAATTTCGCCTTCGTATCATTCGTTGGCGGAGCCAAAGTTGAGATCCAAGTTCCTTCGGGTATCCGAGGGCGTTGATTCGCATGATGGTCCGATTGGCAGTTACCGACAGTATGCACCGATGGCATTTATATGCATGTACTATTGGAGGGTAGACGCGTTTATGCAGTTCTGTGAACCCTTATGAGGTATCTGATATGAGAAGAAATTTTGAAATTTTGACTTAACTAGTACTTTTCTGAACAGTTCACAATATGATGCTTTAAATAAGATCATACTACTCGTAGTTACATGAGGGTTAAAAATAAAATGTGTCACTAAATATTTTCATGATTCAGTTATCATGTTTTCATTATTCAATTATCGACAAGAAAAAATGCCATCAAGATAGGCTTATGTTATAACTGCTCAGTCTGGCC